AAGACAGATATAAAGGGGTGCCTCGGTGGCACAGGAGGTTGAGCGCACAACTCTAGGTTTTGCTCAGGTAGTATCTCACGGTCATGAGATTGAGCCCCACGTCAGGCTCCGTGCTCAGCAGAGTCCGCTTGAGATTCTCTCCCTCTCCCTCCCTCCCTCTCTAAAAAATAAATCTTTGTGGGACGCCTGGATGGCTCAGTTGGTTAAGCATCTGCCTTCAGCTCAGTTATGATCCCAGAGTCCTGGGATCGAATCCCACATCCGGCTCCTTGCTCAGTGGGAGGAGCTTCTCCCTCTGCCTGCAGCTCCCCCTGTTGTGCTCTCTCTCTGGCAAATAAATAAATAAAAGCTTTAAAAGTAAATAAATCTTTTTAAAATAAATAAATAAATAAAAGATAGACATAAAATTAAAACCTATTAAAGTACCATTTTACAATACCACAAAAATGAATTACATGTTTCTGAATCAGAAGACTCATTACTATTAAAATGTCAGGTCAGTACAAATTGATCTGTAGATCCAATATAATCCCAATCAAAATCCCAGCAGGCTTTTTTGTAAAAATTAAGAAGCTGATTCCAAAATTTCCATGGCAGTGCAAGGGACCTAGAATTACAAAATCAAGATAATTTTTATTTTAACACTTACTCTGAGGTACACTAATCAAGACCACGTGTTATTCGTATAAGGGTAGACATACAAATCAATGAAACAGAACAAAGTTCCCAAGTAGACACACAGATAATGGTCAACTGATTTTCAAAAACAGGTGCAAAAGAAATTCAATTGAGAAAGAGTAATTTTTTTCAAAAGCTATACTAAAACAATTAAACTTCCATATGCATCCACATAATACTGGATCAACTGAATTCCCATATGAAAAAGAAAATGAATCATGACCCCTAACTCACACTATTCATAAAAATTTATTTCCAGGTAGACTGTAATGGCAAAACAATAAAGCCCATAGATGATTACATATGAGAATATCTTCTTGACTTACAGTAGGCAAAGTTTTTTTAACAGAACAGAAAAATCTCTATCCATAAAGAAATAAAATAATTAACTGTAATTTATCAAAATTACTTCTAAATATCAAAAATGTTTAATATAATTAGAGAAGATATTTTTAATATCCACCACTGACAAAAGACTCATATCTAGAACACACAAAAAGTCATCAGAGAAATAAAAATTAAAACTACAGTGGAAAACTACTACATACACTTGAATCAAAAACACTGACTCTTGCTAACAGCAAGTTAGTAAGAATGTAGAGCAACTGGAATTCTTATACATTACTAATTAGAGTGTTAACTAGAAAATCTACTTCAGAAAACTGTTTGGTAAAATCTATTAAAGCTGAATGTATACCTTATGACCTAGTGATTTCATCCTAAGTATAACCAGCAGGAAAGTCTACATTCAGGCACCAAAAGTAATGCACAAATATGTACACAGCAGCACTGTTCCTTAAGGCCAAAACCTGTAAAAACTCAACTGTCCATCAATCTAACATGAATAAATAAATTATGATCTATTTATCAATGAATTGAATGAACTACTACATGTTGAGATCTCACAAACACAACATTGAGCAAAAGAAGCCAGACTCAGGAGATATACTATATAGATCCTACTAATGTAAAGTTCAAAAGAGGCAAAAAACTAACCTATGTAATAACCTAGGATAATTGTTACCATTGAGGTAAAGAAGTGATGACTGTTTGGAGGCACAAGGGGTGCTTCTAGGATTCTGCTAAGTTTCTCTTTCTTGATCTGAGTGGAGGTTACATTGTGCGTTTACAATGTGAAATTGTATTGTGTTGTTCACAATAATGTATGCACTTTCCTGTATTTCTTATTCTCTGTAAACAATTAAAAAACCTTAAATATAACCAACTGTGTGACTTAGAAGCAATGTCTATACATTGCAGGGGTACAGTACAGTCTGTACGAGGGTAGCATACATACCAAAGGCAAAACATGTAGTCCAAACATTATAAGCAATTCTCAGCTAATTCCCAGCTGATTGTTATGTAACTATTCTAAAACTAAATAAAATACTGGGTTTAATACTTGGCCATTGTATAGATGTAAGTATAGGAGTAAGCTGTAAGATCATGAGTGAAAAATAAATCATCACTATGTGGGCCACCTTTGCTGGATTTCTACGGTTCTACCCACAGATGACCTTTCCTTTCACCATTTTTCCTTAATACTGTTCATGTCCTTATCCATAGGCAAATTCTTTAGGTAATCAAATGCCCACATTATTTATCACTTCAGGTCTCTAACTAAAGCCACTAAAGTCAGTAAAATAGAATAAAACAGAATCCTGTTGTAATGCTACATAAATTACAGTCTCTCGTAGAAGAAGAAATTTTCTAAATTAGTCTCAAATTCTTCTTGAAAATAAGTCAATAAATACACAAATAAAAATATCTTCTACCTCTAATATTTTTTCACTTTCCCAAATACTTTAAACTTATTATTTGCTCTTCATTCGTCCTTTATAGTATGCCACTGGACAAAGCCCTTAAAAAAAGGGCAGGAAACTAAAATATGTTTCTAGTATCAAAGAGTTGCTTGAATCAGAATTCATTCTCCTGATACTTCAGCTCCACCACTGAGCTAAAATTCCTTCCAAGTTTTTCAGAACAGTGCTCTCACTGTTACTATCTCTGCTGTCCATAGGATAAGCATTGGCCATTCCCCAAATTCCAGAACCATTTGCCATTTCACTGCCTTCCTCCCACACTCAAGTGGCAAGAGTTCAATTTGGCAGTTTGTCAAAAAGAATCAGAGTATAAAGCACTTGGTGATTTTTAACCAAATGTTGTTGTGTATACAGCATACGCCATATATATCACATAATATGATTTCACACATTATAATAGAACACAGTGAAGGATATACTACATAATCCTAGAATCCAAATGTACTTCTCTTTGAGACCTTCTCTTTAAAATAATTTTCTTTTATTGAGCCAAAAGCCATTAACTTACTTTTTTTTAAAGACATACTATTTCATGACAACTTATGCTATTACTGTTCCCTAAGAATGACCAATGTCTTACATATTTTATTATTAGGTGTTTTATAAAAACTATGTTGTCAAATAGATCACATTATGTGACAAAAACAATACCAGAATAGTGTTCATATTCCTCACCAAAAGACTCAGCGAAGAAAGCATAAGAGATAATATGTTATAAATGCAAAGATAAAATCATTATAAAATTTTATAATATACAGTGACAAAATGATGCTCCAGTTTTTAAATTTATTTAACATTTACCAGGTGGTTATTATGTGTCAGGTATTGCTCTTCAAATAAGACCTGGTATTTGCCACCTCCAAGGAATTAAGAGTCTAGACTTACTGAACAAGTAAATTAATGTTTGGTGTATGAAGTAGTAAATCCTATGAAAGAGAGATGCTCAGGGTCTGTGGGGACACAGAAGAGGGACATCTAAATCAGCACTATGAGGTCAGTACACACTTCCTGGAAAAGACCTAGGTTAAGCTTTGCTGCAGTGAATAACTGGCTGAATGAGAGGGGTAATCCAGGTGAAGGGAGTAGCTGGTAACAGAAGTGCAGAGGCATAAGACAACATGGACCATTCAAGATACTTCAAGTTCTTGTTTGGAGGAAAGTTTGAGAGGGGGACAGAATTGGGAAATGAGAAGGGAGAGAATGGCAGAAGTCCAATTATGAAATGCTGAGGGAGCTAGGTTTAGAAGTCTGAACTTGATCCAGAAAGACTGTCCCTCTAATCCTTCAAAAACTACTAAAAAGGATTTTAAGCAGCGAAGTAAAATGAGTATATTTTCATCTTTAAAAGGTATATTTGGCTCTGGTATAAGGTAAGGCTAATGCAGTAATCCTGAATTCAGGAGGCAACATTAGTAATGGAGAACAGGGAAAGATCTGAGAGACAAAAGGAGACAGAATTTGTTAAACTTAGAGACTAACTGGAAGAGAGGGTGAAATGAGAATGAAGTCTAAACTGACTTGGTGACACCAGAACAGAGAGGACAGGACAAAGAGTGAGTCTAAGGTGGTAGGGAGCAAGGAGGAGTGATGAATTCATGTGAAATTATCTTGGGCATTATGTTTTCTTTATATTTTCTGAAGAGTCTCTATAAAATATAAATCATATATAAAATATATAACATCTAAAAAATAACTCCTCTATATTTGACCTAAAGTTTATTGTAGCTAATACATTCATTTTAATTATTTAATTAGCAAACATTTCCTGATTTTCATGAAGTTATGTTGGGAAGAGAAATATCTGAATACCCCAAGTCTCTTTCACAAAGCCAAAGAGGAATATTTAAGTTTTCTTAACCTCTCAAAATAGTTCCTTGCAGCAAGCTGATACATAAATAGGACAGTTCTTTTAAAAACAGACTGCAAATGAGACTTACATTCATTAGAAAACTGTTGAATTATCATAAGTAAATACAAAAATGTATACTTTCATTTTATAATATTAACATAGCAACAACATGGGTTATACATAGTTTATGCGAAGCGTTTCTTTTTAAGTTTAGGAAATCTAAACCTCTAGAAAATCGAAAAATAAATGTATTCCTGAGTGGTCAGGTCTGTAATTTATTATCTCCAACTATTAACAAGGAACTTGATTATTTATGTATGGGAAAATACACCTTTAGCTTCATTAGTCATTTCTCATTATATCTATGACAAAACAGGATACACTTCTCTTTGCTTATTATGGATAAACTATGGCATGTGAGGGGAAGAAGGGGCCTGCAGGGACTGAACAACCGAAGGAAAGAACCAGGAATAGTACTCTGAGCCTTAGAGCTGTCTAATGAGCCACTCTGCCTCCCACAGCTAGCTCCTCAGAGCTCTACAAAAGACTAATAAACTCAAGTCAACAAAAACAAAACCCTCCAAATCTAATTCCATAACTAACACCCTAAGAACATACAGTTTGCTCCTGACCAGAATTAGAGTACTCACTTTCTTTGCGAACTTCCTCAAGTGCAGTAGTAAGCTCTTCCTTTAAAACTGTGGCTTCCTGGGCAATCTTCTCTCCCTTGTCTAATAAATTCCAAGTTGCTTCCTCCACAGAAGCTAGGAGGACTCTGGCTCTTTTTGAACGTCCTTTTTTCCTGTTGGAAGGATTCTGGGGACAATTTACAAGTGTAGTAACCTAAAATTGGAAAAATACAAGCCACTCATTAGACATATGAGAACATAGTCCTGGGACATCACAGCCCAGAACAAAAGGAAGTATTTCATAGTAACATGATTTATTCCCAGTACTACTGGTACGCCCACATAAGTCAAGTCAAGGCACTAAGAGTAATAGTATCAGCCACTATGGAATTTCCAACTAAAGATAAAAAGGAAAGAAGGAAGGAGGTAAGAAGGAAGAAAAGGAGGACAGGAAGAAAGAAGAGCCACAGAGGCTGAAACTTACCAAGTTTTATTATTGAAACAAGGCAGTATATATATATTATATGTATTTTAACGTATGTATAAATATCTATACATACTAATTATTTATATCACTTTGTAGCCAGCAGTCTATATTAAGAGGGAGGCAAAATCAGCATAATTAGGTCAGTAAGTATTATTCTATTTAGGCTGAGTATAGAGATTATTAATGTGGAGGGGGTACAGAACCATACTAAAACATAAAACACTGGTTACCTCAGAGGGACAAAACCCAAATTATTACTATGACCTACCTATTGGTCCTTTGTAACCTCTCTTACCTGTCTCCTACACCCTCCCCTAACTCCTCAGGCCTCTGAAACAGGTCTTGTTCAAAGTCTCCTATCAAGAGGACTTTCTTGACTACCCCATCCCCACCTTCTCTCACTATGTCCCCTCACCCCACTTTATATTTGCTCAAAACACTTACAGAACCTGATTTTTTTGTTTATACATTTATTTCATGCCCCCAATACTAAAATATAAACTCCATGAAAGCAGAAAATGTGGTTTTCTCTCCAGCACCCAGAACAACACACAAAGTAGGTGTCCAATAAATATTTATTATATAAATGGCTTAACGAATGGGGTAGTTGAAAGGGACTTTTTTTTTTTTTAAGATTTTTATTTATTTATTTAACAGAGAGAGAGAGCACAAGTAGGCAGAGCGGCAGACAGAGGGAGAGGGAGAAGCAGGTTCTCCGCCGAGCAGGGAGCCCAATGCGGGGCTCGATCCCAGGACCCTGGGATCATGACCTGAGCCGGAGGCAGCCGCTTAATGACTGAGCCACCCAGGCGCCCCTGAAAGGGACTTTTTAATCTCTATATTTTGAATTGCCTGAATATGTTAATAATGAGCATTATTCCTTTTGTAAATTTGTTTAATATAAGAATAAACTAATGAGGGACACCTGGGTAGCTCAGTCGGTTAAGCGTCTGCCTTCGGCTCAGGTCATGATCCCGAGTTCCTGGGACTGAGTCCCACATTGGGCTCCCTGCTTGGGGAGCCTGCTTGTCCCTCTCCGTCTTCCTCTGCCTGCCGCTCCCCCTGCTTGTGCGCACTCTCTCTCTGACAAATAAATAAATAAA